TAATAAAAATGTAATATTCATAATATAACTGTTACAAATCAGGAACCACATGTGATGGTAGGTCAGAGAAAGGATGGGTTAAATTTGACTTGGGGGATAAAAGTTAAAAATCAGAAGGGTTAAGATCCCCCTCCCAGCCATCTTTTTAAAAAATAAATTAATTAATTAATTAATTAATTAAATTTAAAAAAACACTTAAGGGAAAAGAAAATTATAGGTTAAATAAAGCTGAACATTAAAGGGTAGGAAGAATTCTCAAAGTAGAGATAATGGCAAGAAACTGAAAGAAAGAGCATGCTCAAAGAATGAAGGCTTGCAACTCTGGGGCATGTACAGAGAACAAAGGAGTAGGTTATACATGAAATGTGTAAAAAAGAGAAGAGGTTGAAGCCAAATAATACAAGGCCAGAAAAGCTAAACAAAATCAGGCTGCTAACACGACCCTCCAATTAGAGCCTAGTAGTATACAAAATTAAGCAAAGGAAAGAAACTGATCTTCCTAAAATACTTTTATCCTTTTTGTATCCTGTCACTCTCCTGTTCAAAAACCTTCAATAACTTCTGAAAGAACTACTTTCATCAAATCCCTCAATACCATGGTCCCTATCCTATTAAATTATACTTTCTATCATTGTCCAAAATGTACAACTCTCTCCAGATAGGCTATTCTCTGTGTTGGCCCTTGAGCCAGGTCAGAAAATGCAGGTGGAGTGACACCATGTATTACTCTGTCCAGGCTGCCATAATAAAATACCACATACTGGGTTGCTTAAACAACAGAAATTTATTTTCTCACAGTTTTGGAAGCTAGAAATCCATGATCAAGGTGCCAGCCAATTCAGTTCCTGGTGGGGGCTCTCTTCCTGTCTAGCAGATGGTTTTTCACTGTATCCTCACATGGTCTTTCATCTGAGCACACACACACACAGAGAAAAATCTCTCTCTCTTCCTCTTTTTATAAGGCCACAGTCCTAGTAGATTAGGGCCCTAACATTTTGAATTCATTTAACTTTAATTACCCCCATAAAAGTCCTGTCTCCAAATACAGTCACAAAATGTTGGGGCTCTAACATATGAATTTGGGGGGACACAAATATTCAGTCCACAATACATCATGTTATTTCTGAGGCTAGACCTAAAGAGATTTTGCAGCTTCTGCTCTTACCCTTTTGAAAGATTTCCATCATTATATAAAAAAGCTCAGCCTAGCCTACAGGAGAATGAGAAGCCATATACACCCCAGCCAACAGCCCAAATCACCTGCCAGATATGTAAGTAAGGCCACACTGAACCATCTAGTTCCGGTAAAGCTGTCAAATGACTACAACCACAAGTGACCGCAGGTGAGATAAGCAGAAGATCTGCCAGCTGAACTCAGTCACAATTGTAGAATCGTGAAACAATAATTGTTGCTTTAAGTCACTAAATTTGGGAACAGTTTCTTATAAAGCTATAAGAGGCATACCTCCGTGTTCTGCTTTTTGACCTAGACCTTTGAACTCTATAGGATTTCCCTCGACCCCTTGAACGACTTCGACTTCGTTTTCTTCTAGAGCCATAAGAAGAGCTACTGCTTGACCGATGCCTGCGTCTGAAATAAAGTGTAATCAAATGTTATTGCTATAAAAATGTTTCATTATGAACATTAAGAAATCTTCTAGATTCTAAAAAATCGTCTCATTTTTACTATGTCTCATTCTTTCTTCAAAGCAAATAAATTAAAATGTTATTTCTGTTAAACAGTCAGATGACTGATTCATAATTTAGAGATTAGATCAGCTACTAACTAAGGCATTATGGGTCTTAGACAGTAATATTTCCAAATATTATCAGATAATATGGTATGATAACTACATCAGTTTATATCTACTTGCCTACAAAGAATAGACAGATAAAGACCTTAGACCAATGGACTGGACCTGACTAAAAAAAAAAAAAACAAAAAAATACTCTGGGTTGGGACTTAACCCTCAAATATATAACTACTAAAAGAAAAATGTTTTACCCAGCAAAGTAAAAAATATAAAAACATATGAACTCTAAAGAATGTTACCCTCATACTGCATACATAAAAATTATAAAAATCACCTCCTATCATAAGAATGTGAACGAGGCTGCAGATCTCTGGACCAAGATCTTGACTTTGATCTTGACTTCCTTCCACCTTTCTTTCGGCTGTATGTTCTACTATCTGAGGAACTGCTCGAAGATGACCGTCTACGGTGTTTCTTTTTTCTCTTGCTTCTGCTTTCTTCTTCAGTATCTGATGACCGGCGTCCCATTTCTATAAGATTCAATTCAACATAGTACACAATGGATAAAATTCGATATACTAATTTTTATAATACTTTGTAAAAATTTTAAAAGGCTTATTTAAAGTACCATTTTAAATGTGCCTGGCTTTTTGGCAAGACATGAGAAATAGCTGTAATATAATCTTCTAGGACATCAAAGAACTCTTTTTACAATCTCTAGACAATTTAAATTTGCCCCCAATTTTTTCAAATGTCTCTCAAAAGAGTCAATCCTGGGGACAGTTCATTATACCAATTTTCTGATATTGTAAGTTGCATTTGTCATTAATTATATGACATTTTGTTTAGTAACCACCTATTCCTTCATTTTCACATTCCCTGAAGATAAAAGATATGATACTATCTCAGAGTTACATTTTTCTAACTGAAAATTTTAAATTTTTAAATGGATAAGACATCATCAGTCATCAACAAAGTACAAATGGAAACAATACACTATAATTATTTCACCTGTGAAATTTGGGGGAGGAAATGTTAACTAAAGTACCAAAGTTGATGAGGTTATTGTGAAGTCAGTCAATTCTTCACACACTGCTAATACCTATATAAAGTGGTGGTACAATCCTTTTAAAAAGCAATTAAGCAATTAAATAAAAATGTTGGTGCTTTTTTGATACAACAATCTTCTAAGAATATATCTGATTTTTTTTTTTAAAGAAAGATATTCGGGAATAAATTCATTATAGCATTATTACAATTATATCTACAGAGATTAATTTAAGAAAAGATGTACATATGAATAAGAATGAAAATAAAAGAATTAATATTTAAGCGATGTAATATAACTTTTCACAATATAAAATACTATTTATTCATTTTTAAAAACTATTTCTATATAGTTATGGTAATATTTTTAGTATAGTAAGGGAAAAAACAGAAATAGAACGTAGGGTTTTTATATTTAGGAATTAGCTGATAAGAAGCTTACTTGTCTTACTTTAAAGTTAACCTTTAAATTTTCATGTGCAATATTATTTTTTATTAAAATAGATAGTAGCTATCTTTCAAAGTCATATAAAAGCAGGATCCAGTCTATGTAATGGTTTAGATCAGACAAATAAAAACTCGCACCTTCTTTTAATATTTATACAAAGTAAGTTAAATGTCACTACAATAAACAAAGTAATGTTTTAAATTACTGCTTTGTTTCCATAATTCTCATATGGACCAGCTCCTCCCTGATTCCAGTGCAAAACCAGTTGAAAATCTCTGTTAGGACTTAATTCAAAACTTTAAGCTACTTACCTACTGCCAGAATTAAGAACTTTAAATATAGTTCTGAACCTCCAAGTTATTCGCATATCTAACTGGTGTGGATTGAATGTCCCCCCAAAACTCACTGAAGCTTGATCTCCATTGTTAAAGTACTGAGGGTGTGGGAAATCCACTAATGATAATTTGAAAGGTGGGGCCTTTAAGAGATGATTAGATTGTGAGGACTGTACCTCCTGAATGGATTAATTCACCAGTGGTTCAATGGGTGGTCATGGCATAGTTATGATGGCTTTATGAGGAGAGCAAGTAAGCAGGTTAGCTCTCTCTTGCTCAGCCCATTCTCACCATGTAACACCCTACATCACTGTACAGCCATCATCAAGAAAAAGGTCCTCACCAAATGTGTTACCTGGACCTTGGACTTCCCAACCCCCAAAGTGTAAGAAATAAATTTTATTTCTTTGTAAATTACAGGTTCAGGTATTCTGTTAGAAGCAACAGAAACAGATTTTAAAAATAACGGCACTGGGAACACAGCAGCGCTCCTGCCGTGGGTTTGGATCCTATATAGGGATGACCGGTGCACTCACAGCGCTCACTGGCTGAGCGCGGTGCGGCCGGTCTCAAAAAGGACAAAATAAATAAATAAATAAATAAAAATAAAAAATAACGTTTAATTTTAACAAAACATTGGGATTACTTGGTTTTGAAACTTTCAGTAAACCAGTAATATATCTAAGCCAGTTTCCTCATTAAAAATGAAACTGCACTGGGTAAAAGATCACCAGGATCCTTTCAAGCTTTAAAATAATATCATTATGAAATTATACAAATCAAAACCACAGTGAGATATCATCTCACCCCAGTTAGAATGACTATTATCAAAAAGACAGAAAATAACAAATACTGGGGAGGATGTGGAGAAAAAGGAACTCTTATACACTGTTGGTGGAAATGTAAATTGGTACAGTCATTATGGAAAACTGTGGAAGCTCCTAAAAAGACAAAAACAGAACCACCATACAATCCAGAATTCCCACTACTGGGTATTTATCCAAAGGAAAGTAAATTAGCATACCTATGAGATATCTGCACCCCCATGTTTAATGCAGCACTATTCACAACAGCCAAGATATGTCATCAACCTAGGTGTCCATTGACAGATGAATGGGTTAAGAAAATGTGGCATGTATACACAATGGAATACTGCTCAGTCATAAAAAAGAATGAAGCCTGTCAATTGCATCGACATGGATGGGACTGGAGGACATTATGTTAAGTGAAATAAATCAGTCGCAGAAAGATAAATACCGCATGTTCTTACTTACATGTAGAAGCTAAAAAAAAAAAAAAAAAAAAAAAAAAA